TGTTGTAGGGCAAATTATATCTGACAATGTATTGCTATGAAAAAGAGAGAAGTGTGAGATTATTAAAGAGTTGTTTTATTCTATTGGTCGCCCTGAATTGTTATTTTAAGTCATAACTTCTGTTCAAAACATTTAACAAAGCTTAATATATGATGCTTATGTACAGTACCCCGGGTTGGGAATCACTGAAATATAAGACTGCGAAAAAAACTGTGCGGTAATACCTGAAAACAAAAGAGAGAGAAAAAAAACTGAATGTAGTCATCTCACACTGCTGCTGTTAATAAATAGAGCTGTGTGTGCATATTTATGTATGCAATAACTGAATGTGTCAGGGAACACTGAAAAATATGCTTATATAAATAAGCTTGTGTAGTATGTATAGATGTATAAAATCAAAGACAAATGCCTGCCTTTGTTTTCTGGAGCACTGAGATGACAAACCTGTACTATGTTCATTTTACTTCTGTGGACAGAAAAAAAAAGTTATTTTGAAGAATGAAGAATGAAGAACAAACCATTTCAGAACCCATTAACTTCTATAGTTTTTTTGTCTATACTATGGAAGTCAATGGGAGCTGAAACTGTTTGGTTTCACTCTCAGAAAAAAAGGTACAAAAGCAATCACTGGGGCAGTGCCTTTTCAAGAGGTACACTTTGGTACCTAAATGGTCCATTTTGATACCTTGAAAATACATATTAGTAGCTAAAGTGTACATCCCTAAAACGTACAAAAGTGTTCCTTTTAAAAAGTACTGCACCAGTGACAGCTTTTGTACCTTTTTTTCTGAGAGTATACCAACATTCTTCAAAATATCTTCTTTTGTATTTCACAGAAGAAAAAGTCATACAGGTTTGGAACGACATGAAGGGGAGTAAATGATGACAGAATCCCTTTAATTCATTTTTATAATAATACTCTATATAAATAATAACATATGAATATTTATTATGTAAAATACACAATAAATATACAAAAAATATTTTAATGTAAAATGTAATCGCCTTCTTGAAGGCAGAACTAGCCCCAATCTCCTCCCTCCAGCTAAATGGTCTAGAGCCTTCACAACCGACAGGAGGCTTTTACAAGACCTCACAGCTCTGAAATAAATGACATAGTGCATTAAAAAATTATGGTGAGTGTCTACGCTGTATGAGAAAGAACTACAACAATCCGCAGAAATATTATACAAGGCTCATCTTGATTTTCAATTTCAGTTGGCTGGCTCATTTTTCTGTACAATAGGCTACATCTCAAGATCTTGTGTGCAGACGTCCAAACAAGCTTTAAATTCCAATGAGCTAAAAACTGGCAGCAATATGTTTGCATGGTGGTGCTTTTCACATAACAAATCTACAAAGCAGAATTCATATCAGAAAGCAATTTCAAGTTTAGGTAAATATTGCAAGAGGGCATCTGACAGTGACACAGGGCTTGACAATAAGGATGGCCGAATGGCCTGGGGTCAGAGTGAGAGAGATTCAAGGCAGCTGATTGGACTGACTGTCACTTGCCTGATCAGACCAGAGCTGTTTTGACATTTGTTGATCTTGATCTTGTAAATTATAAATCAATTGTCCATCATACACCATAGGTTATCAGCACAAATGTATTTTGTGTGTGTGTGTGTGTGTGTATATATATATATATATATATATATAATGTGTCTTTGTGAAATCATTTAAATAAAAAATAGATTCATTTTATTCATATGATTTTATACATATATATATATGTACTGTATATATACACATTTCTCAATGTAAATTTAATATGTAATACACACACACTAAATATAAATAAATATGCACACTAATTAAAATACATGAATTATAAAATATCAAATATATATTTTTCTGGCACATATAAAAATACATTGATAAAAAATAACTAATTTATTTATTTTTTTATTTTTTTTGAAGTGTCAGTTTGAAGTGTTCCCAATGTTACAAAATCTGAACCACCAGAAATCCTTACAGCTGAGCTCTGTAAGTACAGAAATAATCCTCGACCTCCAAGATGTAATATGATGTTTTTATGACCGGGCATGTTCATGCACAACCCCTCTGTGCTGCGTTGAGTCATGAATCACTAAAAAACATTAAAAGTGAGCTAGTGTAATGGCAATAATTAGGTCAATTTTCCATTCACATCATGAGCCAATTATAACATGCTTTAGATTTAAAATGACTGCAAAAAGACTTTTACAATGGAGTCACACTATAAAAATCATGTGCCAGAGGAGTCACTGCACTCCGCTCATGCAAATGCATTCTGTAACTAGTAAAACAGTCATTGCAGTGAGCCTGAATGTATCGATTTGCGATGATGTTTACATAAGTTGCATGCATGGTCATTGGCGTCATGCTCTGCATAAATTAAGAGAAGTTCAATTAGTTACGAAATCTCTAGATGTGCATGCATGAAAAAAAAAATCATCCAAGCTCCCACAAACAAACACAAGTGAATGTGCTCAAGCTACGTACTATGAATACATGAATACTAAAGAATGACAAATTAGAGTCAAGACCACACAACACACCAGATGGAGCTAGTCTGAAACAGGAGTGAAATAGTCTATCATAAGTCAGGCTTTGACTGCACTGGAAACATTAACTATGACAAACAGGGGACTCCAGTCCCTGCTGAACTGATAATGGTGGCACTGAGATGTTAATAAGAGTAATCTGCATGTGCCCTGCATTCACTCATCCCATAGTCACACATGGGCTTGCCTTTAATGTGTGCCCAGATGACAAGAAAATAATTTAAGCCAAAATACCCAAAAAGCCAAAAGCATGCAGCCGAGACAGGAAGCACTCCAGCATGTTAACTACACACAAGCCTCTTCATCTATCCTCCCCAGACAGTGTACAATTTTTATGTCTTTTGCGCCATGTTTCTTATATTTTTTTCCCCAAGCAACCTTGACTTTCACAGAGAAACTTCATAAAAAAGGAGACGCTTTGAGACAGAAGAACATTTTGCTGCTGTCACTGACTGAGAAACAAACAGAGTTTATGGACATGTGGAGAGCTTGCTGTGAAACATTTTATACTGTTCTGTAGGTTAATTCGCATGAAACCTGTCAAGGTCATATTTCACACCAAATCAAAACAAATAAATAAATAAATTACTCCAGTATTTAGTGTCACATGATCCTTCAAAAATCATTCTAATATCCTGATTTGGTGCTCAAGAAATACTCCTTATTATCAATGCTGAAAACAGTTCTGCTGCTTAATATTTTTAAAGGAAACCATGATATTGTTTGATGAACAGGAAGTACAGCATTTATTTGAAAAACAAATCTTTTGTAACGCTGTAAAACACTTTACTTTAGATCAATTAAATGTTTCCATGCTGAATACTAACCCAAAACTTATGAACAGTAGTGTATAAAAATATTTTGTCACCATTGAGAATGAACATAATCACTGTCACAATACAGAAATGAGATGTTGTGGGAAAATATGCTTAATTGCAGTATTATTTTACTTTGATAGAGAAAAAACTACTGTATTACAGTAGTGAATATTTAATGAGAATTACCATCTAGACACATTACGGCAGCTTACATATTATATAATTAAAAATTAATTTAATTAAAATTAATATTAATATATTCTTAATTGTAATATTATTTAGTATTAATTATTGTTTTAATTATCTAACTACATTAAAATGCTAAAAACAGAATCAAGACATAAAATGAAAACATATTTATTTTTTCCCTCAATAACTACTGAAGTTTCTAGAATCACAAAATTAATTGTGATAATTAATATACCTATATTAACATATATACCTATTTCCCAGTTTTTGTTAATAATATAGTTAAATGTAATATATAATTGAAGCCCCCCTACATAGCATAATATTAACAGAACTATATTACACTATGTAGGGGGGCATCAGGTCAAAAAAGGTTGAGAACCTCTGCATTATGGTAATGAGAATTCGGTGAGAAACTTGTGTTTAATTTAATAACTTAATTAGTTCCGTTTAATGTCACAATCAAAAAGATCCCTGTGATTTTGGGGTGAAAAGTGATCTACACCTTATCTCTGCGTAGTACATACAATAACTGTGTTATCATGAAAGGACATATGAATAGATTCGTTCACATGACGTGTCAGTGCTGGTTAAAATGGCTCTGCTTTGAGTGCCTGTCTACCAACCAATCCAAAGCATTTCTCAGCATCTAAGCGAAGCCTGTCAGGGTGAGCTCGCCATTACATCGTGACAAAGCGTCGGCATCCCCTTTCGCCACCAACATGAGCCAACGTGTGGCACAAGCTCTCGAAGGTTCATGCAAATTATTTTTAATGCACTATTCCGCAGTCCCTGCACTGATCGCCCTTGAGCAAAAGCTGCCAATGTGGCAAAACTGCTCGCAATGACAAAGGACAAAAACTCCCTTGAGAGTTCCCTCTGAGGTAAGTTCCCTCTTGTCTGAGACAAGTCGGTGGGAAGGAAATAACTTTGACGCAACATCATGCGCAGGGAGACGGCGGAAACCTCTGGACCTACTCATGGCGACAGATGCAAACACGCATCCGCAATTAATATTCATTATGATAGTTAGCCTAGTTTCTACGCCATTCGCTCAGTCAGAATCAACCAGGCCCTGAACTGCAAGCACAGTCAGCGAGAAAGTCTCACGTCACACCGGCTAAATATATCTCAGTCAGAATTTCCCATACTACTGCAAATGACTCTCTCCTTCAGAAACATGCTCATAACATTCAATGGGGAAAAAATCAATCCATACGCTGTGCACTTTGAATTCAGCACAGAAATGAACCCACGCGCTTCAAGGCCTACAACACTCAGCGAAAGCTCCCAGCCGAATGGATGTTGATTCATCATCCCATTTCCCATAATGGCATTTCCTGCTCAAAAATGGACCGTGGGCCTGAGAAGAACCTGCAAGAACCAGTTCAGCAAGATTAGAAGGATTACAAGGGGTACTAAAGAAAAAGGGCACGGTACTCACCAGAGTTGCAGAAAGTTGTGGATCTCAGGACATAAATGGAGAGATTGGACAGATGAAGAGGGGAAGAGAGCGCAGCTGTGTCGCTGTGCGGATCAGTTCATCAGCCTTTAGACTTCTTTCCAGGTTGATAACCGGCCCATTCTGCAGGCAAAAGGGCAAATCAAAACAACACACTGTGTCGTCATGTCAGTTTATGCCACGTTTGTCAGTCACGCGAGGCTGCCATACGTTACACCTTCACCACATCTCTGTGTAGCGAAAGGGGGTTTGCCTCAAGAGCACGGGTGAAATCACACAAGCCATATGTGTGCTGATTTACTTATCTCATGGTTAACTGAATCTTTCATCAGGAGCAAAAAAAAAGAGGCCAAAAACATCGGCTTCTATTTAATGTCAAACATTTCTGTGAATTTTTAACCAAAAAATGTGTTTTGAGATTTATAAAATGGTGTCACTAACCAGAGAGGGATCCCAGAAGTCTCTTGGGTTTTCTCTTCCAGGTCATGTGACCACGTGCTGCCACACTTCCAGAAGACTTGAGAGAGTTCTGTCTGTCCAGTGTACCTCACCTTTTAAAAAGATGTAGAGGTGTGAGGAAACATTCAAAAATCAATGTATTTGCCGATTTCATTACAATTGAATGAAATCGATGCATTACCTGAGCAACTCCTTACCGTTTCTTTTGTACAGGAGGTTTATTTTTTAATTTGTATTTAAAGGTTTTCTTCTGCTCTTCCAAACCAAGATTCTGCAAGAAAGACAGGGAAAAATATTTGCATATTATTTTAAGTAATAACTAAATGTTGTTCAGTTCCATTCAATTGTGTCTTTAACAATACATATTTGACTTATTAAAATAAATATATTTTAAAAATATTTCTGGTAAAATATTATTTAAAAATATAATACATTGTAAACAGTGTCACATGTTATGTGAACTTTACATTGGTTTGAGCAGATGTTATCTTTGTCATGCCCTTGGGTGACTCAAAAAACAAGAGGGGCTTTATTTGGACATATTTCAGATTTAATTTTCTACGAGAAATGTTTCAAATCAAATATGCAGAAATTGGTATATTAAATTGAATACAAACAAATAAAAAATATTGTTTAGTATTATAATAATGCTTATATTATTGTATAATAGCATAGCCTGATCTTGAAGTTAATACTGTAATTTATAGAAATAAGTCCATACATTATAACACAAGTTACAGGAGCTCAAAAGGCAATACATAACAGGAATGGTCTGTATTGATTGTTCCAGATTTTCATTCTATGTCTCACATAGAAAATTGCATAATATGAGCTTGCAGAAAAGTTTAGATTTTTTGATACATATTATTGTAATTATGACCATCTCTTACATCAGTGACTGCACTGCCAAATCCAGTCTTCAACTCTAAGCAATGAGAAATTCCTTCAAAAAGACAAAGAGACGTTTATCAGTAAATGAACGTCTGTCTGTGTGAAAAGTACTCCCTCTAATGGTCATCTTTTGCATTGTTTGACAAGACTGTGATGAATGTGTTCTCTGGCTCGGTGTGACATAGTAGAGTTTATCAAATATCTATTAAAAAACTGAAAGCTCAGACTTAATTTTGATCGGATGAGCTGCCTTCAAACTGCGGTAAAATGTCATAAACGCACATTCTATATTAATTTAGCATTTTAATACATTAATCAGAGTTTCTGTCTTATTACCACAGGATCAAACAACAGTATAACTAGTAAGATATATTCGGCCTGACAAGCCATGGCAGAGAAGGAAAGCCATTAAAATATCCCCTAAACAGTATATCAAAAATGCTGAACCTTGACCTGTCTCAGTGTACTGAAAAACAATCTGCAGTACTTAGGAAATACTGCCATCTACTGGCAAAATCAACTACTGACACCTCCTGTCAATCATTTTCCAGTTTGATGACCATTCTGGAAAAAAGGGGACATGAGGACGTCTCCACATGTAATGTGTTGGCAGAAGAAAATTGCCAAGTCTGGACTCAGCTGGTCCGAAAACCAATTTAGCCAATTTATTTAGGGGCTTCAAGCGGATACACATAAAACACTTCGGCCTTCAGCCTGCGAGCGATTGTGCAAACCAGAAGTTAATCAGTTCCTCTAAAGGCGCTTACAATCTGATCTCCTGTTTGACATGGAGCCACTTCACAGGGTCCCTGAGATTAAATTCTATAATGATGTAGACGAAATTCAGCACAAGGGCTCGACACACAAATCACACTGTATTAATGTTTAATGATCTTTAAAAGCTTACATTCCTTTTTTTTCTCAGGGTCCCGCATCCCAGCATTTACAGATTATCACCTGACCCCTACTCAAGGACTGTCCCAATGCGATGGCAAGCACACATCAGTGAGATTAAAGATCTCTGTTGTGATGGCAGTTACAGTGCTCAAAAGATCCATAAAACCATCTCGGGTTACGCATGTAACCATGGTTCCCCGAGAGGAAACTCAACACTGCACCCCCTAAGAGGCTGCATTCCCCAATGTGCCCCCTAGGGGGCGCAGCGTTGAGTCCCTAGAAGGGGAACGTCTTGGGTTACATATGTAACCTTGGTTCCCCGAGAGGGAACGAGACACTGCACCCCCTAGAGGGCACATTGGTGAATGCAGCCTCCTAGGGGGCGCAGCGTTGAGTTCCCTAGAAGGGGAAACATAAGTTATCTCCTTATGACAACACAGCCCAGAGAGCCAACCATATTCACACTAGGCACGTGCACTAGTCCTCACCATCATCCAGGTACATATTTAACAAGACCGCTGGACTCCTTTGTTAAATATTTTGCACGGTGACTGAAGCAGAAATGATATCAAAAGAAACACATATGGCATACGTGTGTTTACATTTGCTTTTCCTAGCAGCGATATTTCCTATGAACTGTCTTTATAATATATTTACAATTTTTCCAATGCTGTAGCAGTCACTCAAATCTTTTTTTCTACCATCAATGAAATATTAATAAGATCTAAACTATTTATATTGTGAGCATTAATAATGAATTACAGCCCTTTCAACATTGTGCTTCAAAACGTAATATCAAGCCTGAGAGGAAAGCAGATATTTTTCCATTTTCATTCAGCCGGGGGCTTATAAATTAAGAGGGTCCATGCTTTGCAACATATTGTAAAAGCACCTAATGCATTAATCAAATAAGTAAATTTTTGTGGGCGCTCAGTAGGCAATAAAGCCAGAGCAGCACAAAACAGCGCTATTGAAATGTGTTTAAGCGTTTCATTACTTTCATTTACTAATAAATAAATGAATCAACTTGGAGACACTTCACTGGCTGTAAAATTGTAGAATCAAATGACATTTTCATGGAGACGTTAAAAGGCAGAAGATCTCCACAGGACCCTTAACTCTGTCATGGAAAGAGTCAGCTCACTTCTGCCGGTGTGCAATTTCATTAACACTTACATGCAGGCAGTCATTGATTTGCAAAGGAATCTCTCTGAAATGCAGGTCTAATCAATCAAACTTCTCCATTTATTTCAGCCGGGGCTGTCGCTTGAATTCACAGGTCCTTGGATGAAATTTTTATGGGTGGGCCAAAGGAGGTTTATAATACCTGGAGAAAGCTTTCCGTTAGCTTTCCCATTTATCTCAATGACAGATGTTTGGCTGGTGCAAGACCCCCTGGAAGTATGCAATGAATGGCCGTCAATGGAAAAATATGTAGATACAGCATCTACTAATATAATAACCATTTTAATTATGTGTGATTATATTGTTAGTTGGGTATTATTATTTGCATTGTTTTACCCCACCAGTTGAGAAGTACTAAACTATAACATTTAGCAGTGGTTCTCAAATGGTTCTGCTAAATTTCTGTAAAATTCAACATTAAATATTTAATTAAACATATTATTATTATTATTGAAGAATCTAAATAATATATAATAAAAATATTAATATAAATTATATAAATATGTATATATAAATTGTTTTAAAGATATACACTTAATACAAATATTTTAATATTTTGTACAATTCAACATTAAATATATTATGATGATGATGATGATGATAAAGAAACATCTAAATAATATATAATATAATTATCAATATACTGTAAATAATAAATATATCTGTATAGTTTGATTTTTAAGATATAAACAAAAAATATTTTATTTGTACAATTTAACTAATTTACCATTTTTATTATTATTATTATTATGAGGATTATATATATATATATATATATATAATACAATGATCAATATAAATAATTTAAATATATATCAATTGTATATATCAATTAAATATATATCAATCGATTTAAGATAAATATAAATTTGTACATTAAATATTTAATTAAATATAGTATGAAGAAGTTACATATTTACATAAGGTACACTTTTTATATTAACATAATAAAAACATATTTTTTTTTTTATAAAAAAAATTACATTTTATAAAATGTATATTATTCTTATATTTCCCTGCTCTCTGTGACACAGGCAAAACAGACCTTTGGCCCATTTTTGGATCTCGACCCACAAATGGAGAAATACTGCTGTATAAGGCCTTAACGGATCCCCCTTGTCATAGCTTTCCCCCCAGATGACAGACCTGATTTAAAATAAAATAAAATAAGAAGAGAACATAAAATCCACACAGAGTCAAACAGGAAGAAAAATAGACAGTAAATAAGATGTTATTTTGATATATTACTGTATCAATTTCAATCACAGTATTTAGCTGACACAAAGCAACTTCTCAGTTGAACAATCACTTTTTTGTGATACCGGGACTATACATCAAGTGTAAATTTTCCCAGAAATATTACAATTGGTGCTAACTGTATGCCACCATGCAATGAAGAAAACACTGATGAAAGCGGTTTTTTTGACCAGCAATGAAAATAATGTGGGCGTGATATGTGTGACAGTTTGCTTTCTCATGACAAGATGCTTTGAAAGTCAGTTTGAAAAGTTGAGCAAGGTTTAACAGCGAGCTGCAGTTTCAGCAGCCCGAGCTCAGCTAATGGAGTCGACCAAGTGCGGAGGGATTACACAGGAACAAAACAAGTCAAGAAGCAGTAAGCATAATGTTAGGAGAACTGCTTATGTGTAGAAACAGTCTGACAGGGCTGTGAGAGGCTGTCACTTACACACAAACACCTAGCAAAGGAGCTTATCGAGGAACCTTTAAAAGCATTTCATCAACACCAGCTTGTACGACTTTGCCACCTCTTCTCATTCTATGCAATACAAACCTGTTCAAAATGCAGATATTATTGTATAATCATGCCTTGAGTCACAAATATAGAATACAATACCGCTACTGTTCACACAAATGACTTTCTAGGTATCATAACTGTAAGATTCAGTAAACAAAAGACTTACTGTATGGGTAAATGACAAATAATGGCACCTCAAATGTATTCATACTGGTTTAATTACTGAGACACAGATAATAAATTGAACTTTTTTTTTTATTTAAATACTCTAAATATGCCAAGTGGTCTAACATTCAAGAAAAAAGTACAGTATTCAAATATTTTTCTTACTGTACATATTGAATACAAAGTCAACATATTCATCTTACTCAACATTTTCAAAAATGTTTTCAAACATATTGTTCAATGTTATTATTAGTAGTGTAACAAAGTTCGTAGTCACGGGAAGAAGGAGGCGGGAACCGGCGAACATTTAAATAAAACTTTAATA